CCACTCTTCCACTGCCAGTTGGGAGTATTTGGGTTGAATCAGTCAAATCGATCAGGTTAACAAACTAATTAATAAAGTGCTTGAAGTACCTAAATCCGTTCAGAATGTGAAGAGAGAACGACACCCTCCCTCCGTATATGGATGTGCTATGCTTTTTGAGTGCGGCGAGGTGAATGACTCATCTCCTCTGTGGCTGCGTGCTCGACGCCTCAATTACCCGTCAGGATCTCCTGTCTCACATCCAGCATTTCTGAATATTGTTTCTGTTCCTTTTTGACAGCTCAGAACATTATTACTCTCTTATGTTCTAAGAAATAACCCCTACGACCTCTGACCAGTGCGATTCAGGTCCCTGTGCTCTCGTCTTTTGAAATTTTAGCGCATGTGGGTATAAAATACCCTCAACGATGACATTGCTGTTCCAGATGAAGTGGATTTTATTGATCGCTGCTGTCGGTGTGGTGATGGCGATGCGCGATCAGTCTATAGCTGTTCGTGGCAAGCTGATATGTGGATCAAAGCCGGCCTCCAACGTACGAGTGAAGCTCTGGGAAGAGGATAGCGGTATTGTGTTCTGATAGATCAACGTTCTCTCGAATCAGCTATTCAAAAAGAGATTCGGGTGGAATATGGTTCGAGGGGGGGGACAGTCACCGCCGCGGCAAATGGCATGTTCGCACCCTCTCAGCGAAATAGTCTAAACTCGAACATTCCAGCTTTTCACCGACGTCAAGTAACTCGCCTCACCCCTTCATCCCTGGACTGGCTACACTCCTCTGGCTTACAAATTTTCCGTTATGCTCCGAAGTACGCCGTGCGCTGCAGCGAAGGCTACCTCCTCCCCCCCCCCCCCCCCGAGCCACACTGCGCCAAGTTTTGTATGAAGCGTTGGAGGGATGTGAAGCAATCATTAACTTGCATTTAAGAACAGAAGATTTCACAAGATTTGGCAATAGACTTTTCATATTATAAATATTGTGCTCCAGAGTTGATTAGCGAATTTACTCTGTAAAAGGCATGATCATGTCGTAATTTGATGTTCAGGTCCTGACCCAGACGATCTCCTCGATCAAGGATACACAGATGCAAATGGTGAATTTATGCTCCAGGGCGGCACCGCCGAACTGACACCTATCGACCCGGTCTTCAAGGTGTACCACGACTGCGACGACAGCATCAAGGTAACGCCCACAACAATAGCTTTGGTTTTATAGATTAATATTACAATATGCTGTGCTGAAACCTATGTGAGAAACACGAATCTATAAAACCATCACTCTTCTTTCTACTGAGCCATAATCTGTAACCTATCCAACTGCTTTTTTGTCCATCTTCCTGTTTGTTCGGGG